CGAAAATTTCGCTAATAAATATTTCTATGTCTCCTACAAGTCAAAGTATCGTAGCAGTTTATTTTGTCTGCGTCTACCTACTGATTTATATATATATATATATATATATACATAAAATTTATACGTCTTTATTTACATTACACATGAAATCATATAACAAATATATATTTTATTATCCATTTACTTTTTTATTTTATAAACATGACCAGCAGCCAGCGCAGACTATTCGAAGTTACTGGTTTCATGAAGTAGGTGAACACACGTGAAGTGGTGAACTGCGCTTCAGCGCATGTGTTTGTACCTAGAAATAGCTAGTCGTCTATTTTAGCATCTGACCTAATTCTGTCTTTGCAATAATGTAACAAAAATGGAAATAAAGCAAACAAGAAATCACAAACCTTGTGTCATCTTCGCCTTAAGAGTACCATGGCAATAAATATGTGGAAACGTTTCTTTTCACAGTTATATTCCTACTCCAATATATGCAACTAAAGAAATAGGCCTAGCAAGTTGGGTGATTTTCTCGGGCTTATGAATATAACAGAAGCATGAAAAGGCTTTTAAAATGTACCGCATGCAATTATCAATGTATTGATAATTTTATATGGAAAATATAAATATGGAAATACATATTTCCTTTACAATATTATTATAACATGATCAGAACATTTATGGTAAATGGAAACGTAACAGACAAGAAAAAAAACGTATGCGAAACAAATCTATTGACTATACTTATTCCATAGATTTTTATTTGATTCAAGCATTAATAAAAATTATATCAATATATATAGCAAGAACCAAAAAACGTATCTCAAACTCGGTCAACTTCGTAACATCTGCGTTGTTTCTGTAAAAAAAAAGAAAAATAGCACCAAGTTATACAGTAATATAGTAACAATAACAAACTTTATTACTAATAAAAGTAATTGTTAATAAACTAATGTTACAGTAATTTGACAAATTGGCTGTTTTTTTCCAGATACAATGTAAATAAATAACAATAATAATATAATAATAATAATAATATATAACATCATATCATATTTTAGTATTTATTTTATTTGCTGTATTTGTTATGTAGTAGAAAGCGTAGGATTCATAACAAAACGAAAATAAAAACCGTCCGATAATATTAATTGATAGTTTTGTAATAATAGTATTAATTTAACCTGTTGTTACTTATTAGAAATACAAAACATAAATAAAAAAAGTATGATAAACCGATTGACGAACTTGCAATGATAATTAGGCCTAGTTATATTAAATTTAGCGTTTCGAAACTCCATTGGCGCTCCATATATTTGTTGAAAACAAACCGCGACCGAAATGATCTGTATTCCTAGAAAATCCGCCTTTTAAATTCTTCGCTTGGTGAGGAATCTAATTTCTAAGCAAGCACGCAGGCCTAGGCCTTGCTTGGATTCTTATTTTGGCGCGGCCCTGCTCTAGTGACATATCGATCTGGGTGGCATATATCAGTCATAAACACGGTCTTACCAAGTCTGAAGTACTCAATCCCCACATCCCAAGTTTTAGTCCAAGATGCCTAGATTATCTTATCGACCAAAATATTCATACACTTTGAATGCACAAAACTTTACGTAGACTTCGTCACTCTCATGGTACAGAATCTAGGCCTAGATCGAGAATGAGTTGCCCCTTCGTGATTTGATGCAGGGGGCCATTTAATGCAGTACTACGGTATATAAAATGCTAGGCCTCTATGAATCCACTTTTTTTTTTTTTAATAAGAACCAGTAAAATTTTGCCCAGGCTCAGTGTTCTTATTTTTTGGCTGATTTCAGGTTCAAAATGTTCTTATTTTGTTCTTAGTTTACACACCTTTTAAACAAAAGATTATTTAATTGTACGGCAGTATGCACTGTACTGGAATGTAGGTGAAAGTGACCCCACAATAAATGGCCCCCAAATGTCAGATAGGTACACCTACTGTACTGTATTATAGAGTGTATTACAGTCTAACCTACTGCACATAATGTACAGATATAATATTTTGGTTTTTAAAAATATAAACCTCATTTGAAATTTTACCTCAGCCTCAATTTGTTCTTATTTTGTTCTTAACTTTTAAGCAATTTCAGCCTCAGTGTTCTTATAAAATGTGTTCTTATAAGAAAAAAAAAGTGTATATTCAATTTTTCATTGCAAGTGTTGTCATATAAATAGATTACCAAAGACTAGCAGTTGTGTGTGTATACATGTGCCTTGGCCTAAGTCCTGAGGATGATGCCTTGCTTGATAAGGCTACATAAATGACGTGCCTTTTATTATAAGAATATAAGCCTACTGTACTCTCCAGTATTATAATATGACCACCAATATTTAATGAAGACAGTGGACAAAACGTTCCGACAGTTTTGCCTTATCTGCAGGTTAAATCTATCTTCTGATTCATCTGCTGACTAATAAAAAAAAGTATTGCAACCTTAATAATAAATAATAATAAATTTGATATTTTATAACGTCGTAAAGCATTAAGGATAAGCCTACCGGTAACTGTACAAGCTTTGCAACTAACAACAGTACGTTATAATAAAAGCTACGATGCTCACAGAAATTGTTGTAGTACAGTACAGTATTTATTTAGGCCTATAACGTAATTTCTAACTAAACGTTGGAAACGTTACCGTATATTCCGACATAACCTAACCACCATAAGTTTGCTAATACACTTTTCTTTTATTGGCTTTAAAATACCATTCAACTTTATTTTCATTCTTACTTTCAATTTCTTTTCTATAGGCCTAAAGGATAGAGTAAGCTCCTCACCACCTTGGGAAAGAGGGGAAATTTTGCAGCACGGTGGTCCAAATTGAAGTAATTAACCTTTGCTGTATATAGCGATGTAGGCCGACGATCGGTTCTTCAATTTTGTTATAAAACAACTGGACGATGTATTAATTTTGTTATTATCTATACTCCTAATATTAGATAAATACCTTCCAGATTTTGAAAGTTTACGGGTCTTCAATTATTTGAATTGATAAATTCACTGGCCCACCTACTAAATGTTCTTACAGTCATCTATTCTTAATATTTCTATTTATAAGGTATGAGACGAATAGCTTCCAGATGGGCGAGCACACTGGTACACATTTGGATGCCCCAGCACATTTTTCAGAGGGAAAGCAGAGAGTCGATGCAATTCCAAAGGAACATTTCATTGGACCAGGTGTAAAGGTTGACATTTCTTCCAAGGCGTCGACAAATCCTGATGCATTACTTGAGGTTGAGGATTTGATGGCCTGGGAGAAAACAAATGGTGATATACCAGAAGGCGCCATACTGATGGTGTTCACAGGTTGGGGTAAATTCTACCCAGACCGTGCTTCGTACTTTGGTTCGGATCGTAATGACACTTATATTGACGCAAATGGCACCTCTCTTCTTCACTTTCCAGGAATCAGCCCAGATGCAGCTGATTGGCTAATTGGAAATCGTGACGTTGTTGGTGTAGGTATCGACACACCTTCTCTCGATTACGGCCAGAGCACTACTTTTTCTACCCACGTTAAACTTATGGACGAAAATATTTATGGCCTTGAAAATGTTGCAAACCTTGATAACATGCCAACATCGGGTAGTACAGTTTACGCTCTTCCAATGCATATCAAGGATGGAAGTGGTGCACCGGTCAGAATTTTTGCCATCGTTGGAGATACCGATACTAATGGTGTCATGAAGAGCCGACACTCTGCGACCTTTTGTCTTTTCATAAGCATCGCCTTAATAGTCTATAATCAGTACCTCAACTAATTTAAATTAGTGGCGGCGCCAGCGGCTATTACGGAATGAGGTAGGCGGGAGGACAGACCCCGTCAGGCAACCCCCGTCTGGATAATTGTGATAAACCTCAAGTGCAATTTCCAGACAGATGAATATTAATTTTCCCGTAATCCTGTGGGTCTAAAGGAATCTTGCTCCTCTGTCGGGGACACTGAATCGTGAATCGTCGGGGAATCTCTGGCGCCGCCACTTATTTATACCGTCTATTCAGTTATAGAATTAACTTTCTACAGTAAATTTGTCATACCACAAAAATGCTGTAATGGCTATCAATAATGGAGAGAGGAGGGAAAGTGACGTTGCTACTTGCAACACGTAGGCCTATACAGTGGCGTATCTAAAAACCAAAAAAAAAAACTCAGACAGCGATTTGTTTTCGCGTCGGGTGTGTGAGTTAAACGCAGAGACGCGATGGTTTGCGTCGGGGACAGTCGCGTCGTAGAATAAACATGTTTAATATTTCTCATGACAGCTTAAGACTGTCCCCGACGATGAATCGCGTCGGGGGTGGGGGTGCTCGATGATTAAATACAGTAAGCGGGCGCCAGCTCGCAATGTAAGGTGATATGGTGAGTGTTTAACTACTATAGTGTGAATTTGTTGCTTCGAACATTTTCAATCGTTGGGTGGGGTGACTGGGAGGTGCGAACTTCTTCACTATCCCCTCCCCCGCCGCCCTAGTTACGCCACTACGTCCATAATCTTTGTATTCTTAAATTTCCTGGTTGCCAAGGTAATGACATGTAGTAGGACTGTAAAAGGTCTGTTAAATAATGTTTAGGCTTATTTTATTTTAACTTGTGTGATGCTTTCTTAGTTTGTAATCTAGCATTGGAAATTGTTACAAGAATTATATTTGTATATGCATAATCACAATAAAAGTAGGCCTATCTTGTTTCATACGTGTTTGTCCAACTGTATATATTTTTTTTTTTATAGTTGATGTCACTTCACTTTCGACCAGTACAAGTTCGACTGCCTTTTACCTTATACAGTAAAGGCAAAACATTTGTTTTTTTTTTTGCTTTGTTTATCTTAATGTGAATTACAGATGTATGCTAAAAAACATATGAGTCGCCTAATTTGAATAAGTAAGTACCTGTAAGTTATTACCGGAAATTTAAGTACAGAAATTAATGAAAAAAAAATATTCCCAGTTAACAGATTGTCAAATCGTCAAATACCGTACGCGCGCATAATCGCCCCGTTTGAATAAGCACCCCTCTCGAATAAACGTGAAAATTTCCTTAATCGCCCCGTTTGAATAAGCACCCCTTCTAATTTGAACAAGTGCCCCCTCAATAATAATTATAAGATTTTCTTTTTAGCAAGTCAATAATTCAACCAATCCTGGGACTGTGGTTGTTGGCATGATTTGAATTACATTCTACTGGTCAATATCAAAATGAGGATAGCTCTTGGACAGATGAGAGCTCCGATCCCTGGGTGGACAGCAGTATATTTCCAACTCCTCCTCCTACATATTTGTCTATGCCTAGTCCTACTCTTCTTTTTCCGACAATTTGCACCTTTAGCACATTCTCATTTGAGTTTTCAAGAAAACCTCAATCGGCAGATGGCCAACAAGCTAACCACTAACCACCACTTTGTTGTTACAGTATGTAAATTCACAGCATTCTTGACATGAGCCATGTTTTCTGGACGATTATCTTTTCCGCCGCACCACCATTCGTAATGTCCTTATATCTTTTTTCATTCAAAAAGTGCCTCTTGAGTTGAATAATTCCCTTAAGAACCAATCGATTTTCATCTATTTCCATAAGAGTCCCCTCAATTTCCACTCTGCTTTCATAAGCGCCCCGTTTAAATAAGCGCCCTCCAGAAAGTGCAAAAAAAAAAAAAACGCCCCTCAGAAAGTGAAAAAAAAAAAAAAAAAAAAAAAAATTCAAGCACCCGGGCGCTTATTCGCCCGAGTACTGTAAAGACACCTTTCCTCTATTCTGTTTTTGTAGACCCTTAAAAATGTATTTTCTCCTAAAAATGACAAATTATTAATTTGAGCATAGAAGTTATTCAGTTTTGAAATGATTGAGCTATTCCAGACTAGCATAGGCCTATAATTACATTTTTTTAGGTTTTCCCAGTTTGTTTTTCTTGGCGGAAAATACAACAGGTATTATTATTAATTTGTCGTATGGATGCATCATTATGTAGTCTATGTGCCGGTGATTCAGAGCGTTATCCAATCGAATTAAATTTATTGATTGATCTTTGTGCATTCGCAATATATACAGATCAAAATGAGACGCATTGTAGAAAGGTTATTTTAGAAAATCTGCATAAGGAAGGATAGAAACTGGAAATCTCTTCTATACCGTAAATCCTCAAATAACCACCGCTTGCGAATAAGAGCTCAAGAAACGTGATCGCTAAGTGCCGCTCTCGAATAAGCTCTCCCCGACTGGCCCTGCTGGCGCCATCCCTGACTCATATGAGGCGCCAAGTGTAAATTTTATTTACTATTTAACACAATTATTTATATAATTATAATTTATTATTTAACATATAATTGAATAGATCACCTATTATTTATATATAATGCATTTACGTCTAAAAGGTTATATGTAAATAATTGCGTTAACGTTTTCATTATTTATATATAATTAGTTTACTGATTTCATTATATATAAATAATGAAAGGGTAAACAAATATTATTTATATATACTGTAATAAGGTTACTGGTTTCATTATATATAAAAAAGGAAAGGGTAACGCATCATTATATATAAATAATGAAAAGTAACTTACAATTGTTTATATATAATAAGTTCACTGATTCCATTATATATAAATAATGAAAAGGTAACAAATAATTATATATAAATAATGAAAAGTAACTTACAATTATGTATATATAATAAGTTCACTCATTTCATCATATGTAAATAACGAATTTACTTCAAATTCATTATATATAAATAACTGCTTTTACATTTCATTACATATAAATAGCAGTTGCAAAACCATTATATGTATACATAATGCTTGGACTTCAATGAAGTTCAAACTCATTATATGTATATAATGCACACGTGTTATTGAGTCAAAGTCATTATATCTAAATAATGGATTCTTACTGCCAATTATATATAAATAACCGTTGAGGTAGAGTGCCATTATATACTGTAAATAATGACATCGTAGGAACCCATGGTTTATAAATAATTCGTTATGCAAATTACGAAGTAATAAATATTCACCAGTGCTCTTTAAGTTACAATTAAGGCCTATTGTGTGTGGTCTACAGGTCGCAGACCATCACCTATCGAAAATGGCACAGCAAGGGATACAGCAGATTATTGAATCCAGAGGTGGCGCCAGAGCCCCCCCCCCCAATAAACAAAAAATTTACATGTAATTTTCGTTTAGCCACCATATTGTTTTCATTGAACTATTTGTGTTAACTTTTCATCACAATAATAATAATAATAATAATAATAATAATAATAATAATAATAATAATAATAATAATAATAATAATAATAATAATAATAATAATAATTAATAATTAATTAATTAATAATAATAGTTCAATGAGACTAATTAAAAAATAATTTGCGTTCTGTTATGACAAATGCTTGTTCGGATAGCCTCATGATGCATGGAATACATCGCGATAGGGGAAGCAACCTCGACCTTGACAGCGTGGTTGTCAGATTTCGTGCAAAATTTCCAAAATGTAGGCGTTCACCTTGAAGATAAAGAGGATTTGGAAATAAATTAGATGGTTACTGCATTCTCTTTGTTTCTTGTTTTATTCAAAATGGTTTTGGAAGCTCATTTCGACATTAGAAAACATAGCCTACATGAAGTCATAGTAGCTCGCTGCCTATCAAATAAGTCATAAAAATTCGCCATAATTCGTCAAATATCCGTGGTTTCTAGGGGGTAAGCCCCCTGGACCTCCATCGGCGGCCCCATGGCCCCCAGCCAAGTGATGCTCCACTAGCCCATTTCCCGTCGGGCCTTTAGCACCTCCGTCGGGCAGATCCTGTCTCCATCACTGATTGAATCTGCTGTAATGCAAATCTCAAATCAATTAAGACAACCCCAAAGTGAAACCCAAGTTGATGAACCTCGGTATTATGCCTATCACCAGCAGCTGATCCGGACATTGCCCCGGACCCGACAGACTCAAATCGAGATTCCTGAGGCCGTGGCGTTCACTTTGGGGTTCTCTTAATTTATTAGAGATTTGCAGCACAGCAGATTCAATAACCTGCTGTAGGCCTATCCATATATATATCTGTCTCTTATACACATCTAGATGTGTATAAGAGACAGTATATAACCTTTCCCCCCACAATCCTTACCGTATACCTTCCCATCATCGAAATACCGTGATGGTTTAATTATTTTGGAAAATTACTTCATGTATAAATAAAGGCAAATGAATAACGTAGGTCTCTGCCTTGTAGATTATTTGTTGTATATTATCACTAGTAAATTGTGTGTATTGTATTTTGATATAATTAAGATACTTTAATAATACGATTATGACGATATACTCAATGTGTATTACGTTTATAAAATGATTCATTTTCTATATTATGTTCAGAATATTTAAACTAAATATAGAAAACATGCACATACAGATATTGCACACAAATCTCTTTTGAACTTTTGGTGGCTCTGAAAAGAGCCGTTTGGTTTGAAATTGCGCCGTCTTGATTACTTGGAGCTGGTGTACTTGGTGACAGCCTTGGTGCCTTCAGACACGGCATGCTTGGCCAATTCACCGGGCAACAAAAGACGAACAGCTGTCTGGACTTCCCTACTGGTAATGGTGGATTTCTTGTTGTAGTGAGCAAGACGAGATGCTTCACCGGCAATACGTTCGAAGATATCGTTGACGAAGCTGTTCATGATTCCCATGGCTCTGCTGGAGATACCAGTGTCTGGGTGAACTTGCTTCAACACCTTGTAGATGTAGATACTGTAGCTCTCCTTGCGCTTACGTTTTCTTTTCTTGTCGCCAGATCTAACGGCTTTAGCCTTACCGGCCTTTTTGGCAGCTTTTCCTGAAGTTTTTGGAGGCATGTTTTCTATGTATGTAGCCTACGAATAGATGAGTGACGAACTCTTCAACGAGCACGGTATTTATAGAGTGAGATATGCAAAGTAGGACTTCCCACGCTATCGTATTATCTCAAAGGCTTCCTATTGGCTATTAAAAACGCGCGATTTATTGAATTGGTGATAATTATACTATGTGGGCTTTATCAACCGCCTAGCAGACCTTATCAAAGAACCTATTATTCTAGCTCCTGTTACGCCCAAAATTGTTCAACAAGCCCAAAATGAGTCACAGAACAATAGCAATGAAGTTGAAATGGCGCCCAATTTCCAAAGTGAGTAAAATACAAGTAATTAACACTACAGTACAGTAATTAATGCTTATAGCATGGCGGATAATGATACAGTAATAATGTGTGTAAATATAGTATCTGTGGTATGATTAATTTTATTCTGCTAACTTGACAACAATTAATTTGTAGCATCTATAAATATTGGACTTTTATTTGTAATGTTTGAATTTATAAATTACAATCATTCAAGTACAGTACTGAACTGTATTTCCTGTATTTTTTAAATTTTTTTATCCCATATGAATTCTCAGTATTTACCTATAATGGTAATAACCTTGGTACAGTTACCTAGGCCCAATTTATTAGCCTTGCTAAATACCAGTGACAACTGATGTGTTTTGATCATGACATTGGTATGCACAGGTTAACTTGACCTACCTTTCACTCCCCTTTGGTTCCAATTTATAAAAAACCCTACGTATAGGTCAGTTGGTTCCCATTTTCATAGGATAAGCATCACTTTATTTTCTCTCTCTCCGAATTTTGATATTCAACTTTGTATTTTCATTTGTTTATAAATAAATTGCAATATATTCAAAATTAACCCCTAATTATTTTTTGTGGACCCCAGATTAGGAATCATTGTATAGAGGGTATTATATAGCCACACGTCTGTACATAAGTTACAGAAAATGGACATTGTATCTCAGCCTCAATTTGTTTCTTTTCATTTTTAAGCAATTTCAGCCTCTGACGGGTTCTTATAAAAATGTGTTCACTGTTTGGTATATCCTTGACCAGTGCCTAAAGCTGAAGTAAAATATTAAACATTATATTAGGAAGTATTATGATTAAATGTTGAATTAATGTGATGATTTCATCACAAACGAGAAAAGAACTACACTGTATATGTAGTGCCACTTGGGTCAAGGCTGTACTTTTTTGTCGAGATCAGTATATTCAGTGTATTTGTTATATTTTTTCATATTTTTACCATTGCTATAAATGTGTGTCCAAATAGTGTTACTATTCTGCTATCTTAAGATTAAAATTGCCTACTTTTGTTCACTCTACCTCACTGTATCAAAAAAAATATTGTCACTGCAATACGTGTGTTTTAAATAAATATGAACATTTTGCTAGTTTAGTAATGATTACAAGCGCTGTCAAGAACGGTTATTCTGCGTACATTTTTGTTATACCTGTTGTAATATCTGATAGCTTAAAGTTATGGTTTGAGTACCTGTTTTATCCATCACACGGTCTATGAATATATCTATTTAACCGTACTATTCAAGAAAGATGAATTAACTGAGACGGAGAAATACCGTAATACATTTTCATGTATTTCATACATACAATACTGTACATTTTATCTGATGGTTAATTTTCTATCCAGGGTGACCGTGCTATATGGGTGCATCTCCCTCATCCTAAATGTATAATACTGTGTTATTGTTGCAAATAGCATATTGAATTATTTTATATATAGAAAAAGAAACACACTAGTCACATCAAATTCACACAATTTAGCAGCCATGTTTCAAATCTTTTTTGTGTATTTGGTGGCTCTGAAAAGGGCCGTTTGGTTTGTGAAGATACAGTAGTTGATTAGATCTACTTGGTCTTGGCCTGGGTCTTCTTTGGCAGAAGTACAGCCTGGATGTTTGGCAATACACCTCCTTGTGCGATGGTCACACTTCCGAGAAGACGGTTCAACTCTTCATCGTTACGGATGGCAAGTTGAAGATGACGGGGGATGATTCTGCTCTTCTTGTTGTCACGGGCAGCGTTGCCTGCCAACTCCAAGATTTCAGCAGTCAAGTATTCGAGTACGGCAGCCATGTAGACTGGGGCACCAGCACCGACACGAGAGGCATAGTTACCCTTTCGCAAGAATCGGTGGACACGACCGACTGGGAACTGAAGTCCAGCACGACTTGATCGGCTCTTGGCCTTTCCCTTAGCCTTTCCTCCTTTACCACGTCCAGACATATTGTATTTTGATCTTCGGTTATTACTTAAATCAAGAATGATGCTAATTCGGCGATTAGCTTCGTTTATATAGCCCACTCGGGTGTTGCGTTTGACTTCTAGCGCCTATTGGTTTAACCAATCGCAGACAGTCTCGCCTTAGCTCTGATATTACCCAATCGTCTGCCAATAGCTGTTATTGTTCTCTCTGGCGTTAATTTACAAATGTATTGGCAGTCAGTGATGCAAGGAAGTACTGTACTCAGTGACAGATATACAGCATTTTATTAAATTCACAGTATTATTTAATTATTAAAATAGTCGATAAAGTTATGGATATATCGTTTGTGATAAAATAAAAAAGGTAAAAAGATTGATTAGTTACTGTATAGACACCCATACCATTGTTTGACAATGGTCTTAAATTGCGGGAGAACGGTGCGATGATGTGCGGTTCTTCTGCTATAGTCCTTTTATTTTGGTTCCTTTCCTTAGTTCGTTAGCATAGAATCTTTAGTTGGATTTTCTTATCCTTTTTTATTATTTTATATTAGCGCATTGAGACTTCGGTGTAATGCGCTATAGTAAATCCCACTACATTACATTACATCAAAGCACAAACAGTTTAAAACTATGCGAAGCTATTATTTATTTTTAACCCTAATTTAATTACAGTACTGCAACATAAAACCAGTAAGAAAACAGTATAACATTAACAGTATTAATACTAATTGTGTCAATATATTATTCAATATTAAACGAAGAACTCTGCTTTTCACCTAATGGTCCTCTTCCCGTTGAAAAATCGTGAAAATGCTTTAATTATTTTGGAAATTAAAGACGTCGTCTCCTTTATCATCAGGAACTACATTATTTGTTTAACTGGAATTATAACAGATCTTACTACAATGAATTTTAAAAATATACGGGGTCTCAAAGAATGTATTTGCTCCTATTACAACGCCAAAAATTGTTTTGTTCAACAATAGCGCTCGCCGACATATATTTTACATTAAAATGAAATTGAAATGGCGCCTATTACAAAGGTGAGTGAAACACCTAGTATACGATCATAGAGGAATTCCTCCATGATACGACATACTGTATCATAT